TTCATTTATTGATTGCTGTAAGTACTTCAATTAACGCCTTCTTCGCGGTTAAAAATGTTCTTCGATAATTTCAAAGTGAGTCAGGTTTTAGTGCTTTTTGGGCTTTTAGGCTTAAAACTCATCAGATTCTATTTCCAAATGATTCAGATATTAGCTATTTATAAGTGAGTTGGATGAAGCTCACAGGCCTATTACAAAATTTAATTAGTTGCATAAAAAAACAATTGAAAGCTTCCAGATAATAATTAAGAATTATTTAATCACACTTTTAGTCCACTCTTCTGATGGAACTCATCGCGACTACTAATTATTACAAATGTTTATTAGGAAATTGTCTTACTTTCGTTGAAATCAGGCTGCGCTTCCTTCAACAACATCAAGAAAGAAAAAAAGAAACAAACATTTACCAACCAGTCGTCTTAAACTGGGTTAACTGCGTGTGAAGCAATAACAACAATTAAAATAATAAGGAGTTTCCATTAAAGTTGATTTATTTAAGAGGGTTTTATTGTTTTGTTATGAGCTTCGTCTCTTGAATGTATGTGTACCAGCAGGCCTACGATGGAAAACGAAACTTGTTGATTTGATTGGCTCGCCTGATCTAGAAATCTACATTGCAAATTACTGTACTTGTTGTAAAAGTGTTCTATTTATATTCGTGTTTGCATTTTTACTACAAGATGCATATTTCTACCGGGTTTTATTGCGCTTTTCGCCATTAAATTTGATCAACTATTAATTTTATGTCTTTCCACTCGCACTTTTTTGTGTGATGGTCTTTATTCTCTACAATCCTTCACTGGTGCATCACTAACTGCAGCACAGCAAAAAAAGTTACGTAGAAAAATGCCTGCAATGTTGGTATAACAAAAACAATATTAAGAAACACTCTATATATATATTCTATTGACTTCAACTGAATTTTCAAAAGAATTAAAAGATTTGCATCACGAATGCAATAAAGTGCATGCGTGATTTTTAATAAAATTGATTATGGTCAATGTTATACAGTTGATGTGCATTTTAGGCCAAAATTTTGTTTTCATTTTTTTATGATAAAAATATTAAATTAGATTCTGTTTTTGTTAACTTTATTGTACTGTTACAACTGCTTGAATTTTGTGATACAATCAACCCCTCATTTTAAACCGACCATTTATCAAGTCGCCAAAAATCAGGATTGACTGCGATTTCTATGAAACTTTCGGGAGTTTAAGTTTGAAATGTTTTCTACTGAATGTGCAAGTTTGAAGTTGTGATTTGCTCTAGGCTGGAAGTTAAGAGTTTTTATAGCCGATGTTGCAGTTGCACGAAAACATGCATTTTGAGCCCAACATTTACACACTCGGAAAAAATCAGAATTTAGTGCGATTTCTATGAAATTTTTCGGAGTTTAAGGTTCAAGTGTCTTCTATCGAACGTCATAACTTAAAGTTGTTATTTCATCTGGATCGGAAGTTGTTCATTTTCAAACCCGATGGTGCAGTTGTACGAAAACGTGTATTTGGAGCCCAACATTTATCGACCCCAGAAAAATCAGGTTTCAGCACAATTTGCATGAAATTTTCAGAAGTTTCAGGTTCAAATGTCTTCTACTGAATATACAAGTTCGAAGTTGCGATTTCTTCTCTATTAGAAGTTAAGAGTTTTTAGAGCCGATGTTGCAGTTGTACAAAAACGTGCATTTTGAGCCCAACATTTACCAACTGGTGAAAAATCAGAATTTAGTGCTATTTCTACGAAATTTCCAGGAGTTTCAGGTTCAAATGTCTTCTACTGAATATGCAAGTTTTAAGTTGCGATTTCTTCTGTATTAGATGTTAAGAGTTTTTAAGAGCCGATGTTGCAATCGTACGAAAACGTGCATTTTTAGCCCAAGATTTGCAAACTCGGTAAAATCAGAATTGAGTGCGATTTCTTTGAAATTTTCAGGAGTTTAAGGTTTAAGTGTCTTCTATCGAATGTCATAGTTTGAAGATGTTATTTCATCCGGGTTGGCAGTGGGAAATTTTTAAACCGGATGGGGCAGTTGAACGAAAACGTGCACTTTGAGCCGACCATTTATCGACTATAGAAAAATCAGGTTTCAGCGCTATTTGTATGAAATTTCCAGGAGTTTAAGGCTCAAATGTCTTCTACTGAATGTGTAAGTTTGAAGTTGCGATTTCTTCTGGATTGGAAGTTTGAAATTTTTAAACCCCATGATGCAGTTGCACGAAAACATGCATCATAGTGAGCCCAACATTTACCAACTCGGTAAAAATCAGGATTTGGTGCGATTTCTATGAAATATTTAGAAGAGTTAGGCTGGCTCAAGTGCGGATTATTGATTGTGAAAGTTTGAAGTTGCTATGCCCTAAAATAATTACAATTAAAAGAATTACAGAAGCCAATTATCATTCAAGAAGCTCATTCAACACACTATCTATGGTGGAGAAACCACCCGATAAAACCGTATGTATATAACAATTTTATTTATATTTTCTATGTGACTATTCTTCTCCAAATAAGTTTTTTCCTTAAACTGTTTAAGTTTCGCGTCGCTCTCATCCAATTCAGGAACGCGTAGTACAGAAAATAAAAATCAGTAAGCAGAGCTTAAAAACTTGCATGAACTAAGATCATTAATTGCTTTATTTAAGTTCCCAATTTTCCCATAAATCTTCTGGACAAACTTGTTTAAAACCCATGCTTAAACGCGAACTTAAAGCAAATAAGTGAAAATAAAACCCAGAAAAACAACAAATAAGCGAGCGACCAGGGCAAGAATTTCATATGGTGCGCTAAATATACTTAAAACGTGGAGAAAGGGAGGTTGGCGGCATATTTTAACAAAGAAATATACGGGAAAAAGTCATAATAAACACCAAAACGAAGCGGGAAAACATGTGCGATTCTGCTGAGGGCAAGAGTAAATAAATAATCCCGACGTCCGCTAAAAGTGTTTTATGTATCTTCTTTGTGTATTTTCAGCTTTATTTTTAACTTTACTATTTGTGAATTGGGTTGATTGCTGACGTTTTGCTATACCACTTTATGTTGTTCATTTACAAATGTGTTGAGCTGTTCCATTCTGGAAAATAAATATTTTTGAACGAGATTGTTTCCAATTAAGTCAGTACTTTTTAGAGAAAGTTTTTTCATTTAATAGCGTTGAGCGTAAAATTGACGAAACAAATTTTTATATCTGTCTTTAAATTTTTACATTTTTCTTTAACAGACAGTATTTAATTTTTTTGATTATTTGTTTTTCTGCTAGCTTTCAGAAGTAATTCAAGTTTTTTTACGGAATTAAGTCGATGGCCGACTAGATACTGGCTCTTCTCAAACTGCATTCGCTTTAATAGTTCTTAATGTGTTTACGCATTGCTTAGTTTTCTGACTTTAATCTGTTGAAAAAAATTATAATAATTTTCGCGCTTCTAGTTATTCTGCAGCATTAAATTATATTTATTTTAAACAAGCATACATTTTTCTTGGCTTCTGATCGACGACGCATTTAATTTGAGTTCAAAGTGGTACTAGCCAATGGCAGTTGATTTTTATAGTACATGGGCAATTACGATTTTTTTAATGTCTTTGAAATTGATTGATTCCACTTAACCGAAACCGGTTCAAGCGCAAGCTATTTTGCATACATTTTCAATGAATGTCTACACAGTTGTGGGGAAAATGACTCAAAACAAACAGGATTTTTTATATTATATAAAAAAATATTGAAAATGCACTATAAGATCAGTTAGAATATATTTGCTATTTCCAGTTGAGTTGCTAGAAAATGTTTCTGTAGTAGCGTAAATTATTCGCTTTACATACCGCAAAACCGATTTTCATCTCATCGGTAGATACATTCAAAAAAATGCATTTTAACGCTGAATTATTCAATTGGAATCAAGCAGTGAAATAATAGAAAACGAAAATACTTTTATCAAAATTGCCTCACGTCTGTATCCACTGTCGTCAATTATATGATTATATATGATTAATCGGGCTTAACTTCTGCGAAAAAAACGTTAGAAACGCGACAACGAAGATCTCATGAAAAAATTACATTTTGCACAATAATGAAGAAAGTAACAAATATTCCTAAAACAATTATTAAAATAGGAATAAATGTAACGTAGTTCTTGTTCGAAGCTTCAATAAATTGTTGTGAAAAGTGTTATTGCATAATAATAATTCTGAATTTTTATCGTTCCTTGAAACTTAGAGGAGTTCTTGTATTTGGAACATCAATTGATTTTGTTTATGACCGTATCAAAGCGAAAAAACCAACTAAACTCGAGGAACTAAAGAAAAAAGTAATTATTAACACGTATTTTCTTTTGCTGTTTTTCGAGCATAAAACGGCATTTTATATGGTCTGAATAGACATTTCATAAACAATAAGAGTCAAAACTGTAGAGATTCAAGTAGGTAATGACCGCGCCACCCTAACTGCTTTAATAATAATGTTTAAAGCACTTAAAATTATTGAAGTCTGATTGAACATTTACTAACTGAAAGTCCAAAAGTAGCTGATTTTTGAATAAAACCCTCAATTAGCATTCTTTTGATTGTTTGAGCACCAACAGTGTATGTTCAGTTCAGTTCTTAAAGAATACGCTAAAAATTCTCCTTGGCGCGAGTAAATACCAAAAATAATACTTTTAAATCCTCCTTGTTCTTCAAAGCAAAATTTCACTTGAAAGATTAAAAAACACGCTTGTTGAAGCGTGCTAATTTAGAACAATTACAAATAACAAGCACACTAAACACGATTCTTCAGTACGTCGAATAAATGAATGTAAAGTGCAGATACAAATGTTCTTTTCAAATGTAATGTTACTATTTGAACACCTTCAGCGCATCGTTTACCAACGTTAATTATAAGCAATAAACAAACCTGTTTCCTGTATACTTTTGTCACGTTTCTAATTGCGATAGTGGGCTAAAACTGCAATTTAAAGCTTTCATTTTTTCCTAAACCCCTACGTAGTTTTAATCCCCTTGCTACCTACCTGATAAACGAAGCTGCATACCATTCACCGTTGAACTCAAATAGGTCTTTCTTACTTCGGCTATAACTTTCGGAGGGATTCTATCTCGCACATCGAAGTCTCTATATGGAGTTGCAATCAACATTGTACTTTTCCAAATCGAAACAAAACCAGTTAAAACACTCGGCCTAAGTGAGTGAAAATTGAAAGGCTAATTAATCCTTTTTTGGGTTCCTTCAGCATTGTCTTTTTACAGAATTTTCACAAATTTTCACTGAACACAAGCTGTTGTTTTTACAGTTTCTACCACATTTCACTGGCACTTTACACCGAATTGAGCACAAGCATTAACCGAATTTTTCCAATCACTGTTATGCGCCGAAAACGTTTTTGAAATTGAATTTAAATAAGTACCATCAAGCGCGTCGTATATTAATCGGTACCTTAATAAGTACGCATTGTTTTCGCGTATCTCGGTCGTTCCTTAGTACACATCGATAGCATGAATGAAAGTTTCTAATGTGGAGCGAATGGTACTCGGGTACTACGTTATCAACGTCTGACAAGAGTGGGACATTCTTTTTGGCCTGAGGCTTCAGATCTTTTATTCCCCTCTTCTATTATTAACGGCAAGGGCTTCTATTATCTTGATAGTGTCCGGAGGACAGGGTTGGGAACGAAAAGGTTTGCTGGAAACTTGCATGGAATTATTGAAGAGAAAGATTTAGATATGAGGATCTTTCAAATTGGATCAATTCAAAGGATTATTTTTCAAACCGGATTTTTTACAGTTAATTTTGATGGCTTTAAAATCTATTATTTCTATGGCCTTGTGTATTTTAGTGCTCTTATCCGGCCCTGAAAAATTTTAATAGACACAGTTTCAAGTAAGAAATTAATCAAGAAAGAGTAACAAAAGCGACTTATTTTGTATTTTTGTTCCATCCTACGCAATTATTATTTAGCCTTTCTTTTTTTTAGGAAAAGAGCACAGTCATCCATTTCATTCATATAATCCATTTTGAATGACCGTAATTAAGCAATTTCTAAACATATTTAAATTCTAATTCAATTTTATACTTTTACTTTAAGATAGTTTTATTTCACTTCTATTTTTTATTGGCAAAATAAGTTAATCAATGGAACTAATTTTTTAGATTATAAAGTCGAATCACTGTTAAACCGTTTTAGTTAATTGAGGACTCAATCTGATTTAATTAAATTTCAGAATTCCCCGTTGCAAAAGAAAATTATTATTTTATTATTTGCGGAATTAATGATTAGAAAGACCAGAAGTAAAGCGTTTGAATAATTCATGGGACGAAAAGGTCAAATCTCTTTAAACTGTTAAAATTGGTTCGTGATTTGAAATCTGGTTTTTATTATGTATATTTATACAATCATAATTTCGGATCAAAAAATAACTTTTTAACCTCAGATCCGTTGCTGAAACGCTTGGGGCTTCAAGTTCAAAAACAGTGTCACCTAAAGGAATCATTTTTCAAAAATTACGCACTTCTGGGGGGGGGGAAATTCTGTTGAAAAGTCGGCAAGACTTACTTTAAACGTTTGCAGTTTCCAGTTCAAGAATAGCACTAAGTAAAGAGTAATTTTTTCAAGAATTACATGTTTAAATTGTGGAAAATCCTGTTGAAAAGTCGCCAAATTTTACTTTAAACGCTTGCGGTTTCCAGTTCAAGAATATCGTTAAGTTAAAGTCTCACTTTTTCAGAAATTACACGGTTAATTCGGGCAAAATTATTTTGAAAGCCGACAAATCTTTCTGTAAAAGTTTGCAGTTTGGAGTTCAATAGCGTTAAGTAAAAAATCTCACTTCACTTTTCAAAAATTACTTGGTTAAATCGTGGAAAATTCTGTTGAAAAGTCGACAAATCTTATATGTACTTTAAACTATTGCGATTCCAAGTTGAAGAATAGCGTTAAGTAAAAGTATCTTCTGCAAAAGTTACACTGTAAAACTGCAGAAAATTTGCTTAAAAACTGGAGAAATCTTACTTTAAATAAGCGTTAAATAAAAGTACCACTTTTGCAAAAATTTCACTCTTAATTTGTGAAAAGTACTATTTTCTTATTTTTTTAAATAACACGGTTAAATTGTGAAAAATTGATAACTCTTACTTTAAACGCTTGCGGTTTCCAGCAAAGACGGATCCAGGGGGGGTCATGGGGGTCATGACCCCCCCATTCAATTCTCTATCCAACGAAGCCAAAACGAATTCTGTGGCTCAAATGGTTCTTGAGAAACTTCGAAAAAAGCAGCGTCATGTTCAAGTGGATTTTGCAACTCAAAAAAA